AAATAGCAGTAAAATAATGATGGACAATATTTTACTTTTCAAATAGATTTCAATAGATTTTAAAGGGTAATATCCAATTTGTTGTCAATGGAAATAAAATAAGAATGGGTCCAAAAATAATTAGACATTGCCAAATAAATAGGTGCTGCCATGATGTAGTAGGGAATCTAGATTTGCAGACAATACATGTATGAACCGGGTGAATAGTTGACCTATTATGAGACTTCAGTCCCAAATCTCAAGACTTTTTTCTGACTTAGCCTGACAAGGACAGCTGTCTAGTCCTTCGGATGAGACGAATATTGGAATGCACGTAAAAGATCCCCTGGCAGTTGGAATTCGATATAAGAGTAGACGATAGTGCCGCTGCCGGGCAAAATTTCCCTCATAGCACACTGTGTGGCATATGCCCGTCTTCATTAGCCGAGTATAGGAGTTGAACAGTAGGACGTTAAACCCCATTTCATTTCATTTTTCTCTCTTTTATCCATTTGATTTGAGCATAATTATCTGCCTGGGTCTTTAAGTGGACAAGACACAATAAGCGTTACGCAAAGTTGAAACCAAATAGAGACTCAGTCTCGATGTGGCAAAATAAATTGTTTATTTAAACATTGTATTCTTATTGCCTACTTTTTATTTTTTAGGCTGGAACACCCTTGAAAGAGTATTTGATGCATGATAACAAGAGAACCCAAGCATCAATTTATTTTATACTTCTGGGAAAGAATGCATTTGACCCAATTTTTAAATATTTATTTTTTGTTATTAATGTTAAATTTTCTTCCAAAACACAATTAGATTTTAATTCTCTTCAAATATGTATGTATAATATAGCAAGTAAAGTGACATATAAATCATTTAGAATTTGGTCGGAAATCATAAAGTATTTAATAGGCATTACTAGAAACCAAATGTAGATCAAATACACCCAGAATTACAAAAAACCTTGACCTACATTAAGGTGACTTTCCCTTGCTTATGAAATGAAATACGGTTTAATATCCTGCTTTTCTGTGTTCTTAGAGTGATTCTACCCTACCCTTATATCAAATATTTCAACTGTCAAGGGTTCTTTAAAGGGAACTCAGGGGTCCGAATGGTTAACACGCACACATTTGATCAGAAGGTCTGTCATTGAGTCAAATAATTCAATTTTCAAGGGTTCTTCAAAGTGAACGCAGTTGGGTTGGTTTCGATTCTGGGGGGTGGGTGGTGGCCGAATGGTTAGCACGTGTGTGCTGTATCATACGGCCTGTCATTGAGTCAACTGGCATGGTTTCGAATCCCGGTTGTAGACAAGGAGTAGGGTCGCCTGTGCAATCTTGTGGGTTTTCTCCGGGACCTCCGGTTTCCTCCCACTGCTAAAGACCCCTACGCGCAAGCGAATTATTGAAATAAAATTAAACCATATGTTAGTCCCGAGTGGACGTTAAACCCCATTTCTCTCTCTCTCTCTTTTGATTCCAGACTTGTACCCAATTATCCCTTGCCATATCCAACACTACTGAAAAGTGGGAACTATGCCGGAAAATCCAGTTGAAATTTCTCGGCCAACGCCTTATACTCACTGAACCACTGTGGCTTATGACTTGTGATTGTATATAAATTTTTTGAACATATGATATTTTTTTATTTCAATTCTGTAATCTTGATGCTTTGCTTCTTTTATTTATAAAATATTCATTTTGTTTGGGTTTTTTTTATAATGAGGAAAAGGCTCTACATCATTTTATTACTCCTGCAAAATAGTGCATTTTTCTTTTGTTAGTTTTCTGTGTATGCTAGTTATTTCTAGATGCCTCACAAATCACTTGTAGTATGATTTTGTAGCACTTTTTAGTTTTTGAAATTGTTTCAATTTAGTGCATAATTAATCTTATTAGTGCTTGGTTTGGATGTTATTAAATTTAGATATATTTGAATTATATATTTTGGGGTATGGGGTAGGGATACTGTGTACATATCTTTATATTCTCAGTTCTTGTTTTGGGGTAAAGAACAATTTAAATAGCTATTTTATATTTTGTGATGGGTAAAGTGGGGGGGGGGGGGGTCATTATATATAACACAATATAATTAGTATTAGAATTCTCTGTTTTTCTGTTAACATTTCAAATATCTATTTTGATGTATTAATTTACTTTTTCCTATGATTTTATGAATAAATAATAATCTTACAAATTTTTTTTTTGTTTCCTTCTTTTATCAAACTTTACAGGTCTAACAGAGCAAAGAGAGGGGTCCTGCATAGAAAGGTTGCTATACTGGATATAAATTGGGGAAAAATACAACACAAGTTTTTGTTGATGGTTATACACAAGTTTGTATGAAACCACACAAGTTTCAGAAATTTTAACACAAGTTTCAGAAATTTTAACACAAGTTTCAGAAATTTTAACACAAGTTTCAGAAATTTCAACACAAGTTTCAGAAATTTCAACACAAGTTTCAGAAATTTCAACACAAGTTTCAACACAAGTATTGTGTAGATTTTACACAAGTTTCAACACAAGTTTTGTGTTGTTTGATACATTTTAACACAAGTTTTGTGTTGTTTCAACATTTAACACAAGTTTTGTGTTGTTTCAACACAAGTTTGTGTTGTTAAATAGAGACACCTTACTTGTGTTGAAACCAACACAAGTTTGTGTTGTTTCAACACAAGTTTTTTTTCAGTGTAGGAGAAAATTGGCACAATTTTCAACTAGGTTGACCCTCTGAGCTTCTTTGTCTATACGAGTCTTCTAATATCTCTGTAAAAGATGACTGCCTTTAACACGTGCCGTCACAGCATGCGGCGTCAATCATTGGCTGAATGGCGCGTGCATTGTTTATATGTTTACATAAGACGTTACTGCTTCGGGCAGAATGCTGGCTTTTAGTCATTTTAATATCCATTTACGCTAAATAGGAAATAAATTTTACCTACTAATACGTCAAACGCCTTTATTTATTTTTCTAATACATCAAAAAAAATAATGTTTTAAAATTTAATTTGTCGGTGGAAAAAAGTTAATAGTTAAGACTCATTAAGTCACACTGATGTCATCCTTATCAGTGATTGTAGCGGCCTAGCGAATATTCACTCCTGATCAGAGTGATTGTATGTGTGTTAAAAACTCGTTTGTATTCGTTAAAACTGGGATTATCGATATTTATAGACTAGAGATTGACGGCTTCACAACGATGCCAAGTATTACGTAAAGAGATAGGTTGGTCGTACCGCTGCGTGCGTCAAAAAATAACTAATTTCGCTGAGATTTTTAAGAAAAAGAAAGATTTTAGAATACGGTACTATTTCAAAACGTCCCAAAAAAGTTTTTTAAGATGTTTTATTGTTATTTTAACCAATTTCGCGGAGCTTTTTAATGAAAAGAAAGATTTTAGAATACGGTACACTTACAAAACGTCCAAATAAAGGTGTTTTAAGATGTTTTGTTGCTATTTTAGTCTTTTGGGTCGATACATAGTCTCATTTTTGTGAAAATCTCAATTTCGATCATAATCAATATTTTCACTTATTTTGTCTGTAGCTCATTATTAGACTTTGCGCATTCGTCTCATTTTGCCTCACGGGTCACATTTTGAACTGCATTTGATGTCAACGCATTAAATGCAACGATGTTTAACATATCATCAACACAATAATCCATCATTTGGATACTAATCTACGGTTATTTTTTTTTGGGGGGGGGGGGGGGGGGTTATATGTTGACGCATGCAATTCCAAGAGAAAGACGTTTGCCTGAAATGTGGCGTACCTGTCTACTGTACTTTGTATTGCAACAAGCTATGGTTCATTTACATGTACAGCAATGTGCATACGAGTGAACCTAAGATTTTCATACTCTATCCGAACGAATAGGCAAATTTTTCACCCCAGACAAATTAAGGTCATTTTCGACACACGCAGGGATTTGAACCCGGGAGATTATAATCAGACGTCCATACTGCTAACTCTCAAATAATTGATGTGAACTATTCAAAGATCGTAAGATCTGGCGATAGACCTTTAATTGTATGAATCGAAATGGCATAAAATGATACCCGAGACTGCAATGTATGATATATAGTCTCAAGATAATTCGCGCCTTTTATGTCAATATTACACGTCAAATGCTAGTTAATGTCACTTCAGCCAGTCAGTGTGGCTGTTGCATTTCTATTCTGCATGTATATACATCTATATGCTGACGTCTGTCAGCTCCTTTAAAGAATATTTTCTTACAGCAACCGTGTAAATATTGAAGGAAACAGCGAATATATTGTTCAGATATATATTCAATACAATTAATGAAACAAAGCCCCCTAGAAGTGTCGATGGTATCAGATGGGTAAAATTATTTCCATTACAATTCCCGCAACATTAAACTGTTTTATCATAATGTGCAAATAAAAAACTCACACGAATCTCATAATATCACAATAAATGGGGCCATTTTCACGCACTGGGTAGTCTTCTGATACGAAAGAATTTGTCGTGTGGGTTGTTAGTTGCCTAAACCTGTTCTATGTTCGTTCCCACAACCCCCGTCGCCCTCACCCACACGTATTTAAATCAAACCATTAACTGATGTACGGTGTATTTTCTATACATATTACCATTGCAGCATGATAAACCAACATTCCATTCGACACTCTAATTGTATAAACTAATATTTTATTATAATTTTCAGGTAAACAAAAAGAATTAAATGATGCCCGAAAAAAATATAACTAACAGTCATTGGGGATGGAATTAATTATATGGAGAATAACGATGAATCACAACGAGTTTCCAGCTTTCAATGTGTTGTGTTGTGTTGTGTTGTGTTATGTTATACAATTTCATTGGTATGAAATTATGAATGGATTTACGGATTTGAAAAATGTGTGTTTTGTTATTTCATTATTCTCGATTTGATGAAGATATCGTTTTGAAAATACATTCATTTTTGTGACACCATGGAAGTTTATTTTAAAAGTATCTAAGGAGAGATAATTACCACAAGAAACTGTTGTTATACAGTCAAGATGGAGAGTAATTTTACTGAAGTTTTAACTATGACCGATAACTCTACCATGTCAATGCCTGGTGTTCCAGAATCTCTGGAAACTACTCGATATATTGTACAGAAAATACTAGTGCCCTTTGTAGCAGCTATTGGTTTATTAGGGAATTCCCTTAATGTATTTGTATTACGTCATCCATTTATGAAGGGAATTTCTACCAATTTTTATTTATTTATTCTGTGTTTAGCCGACATATTTTACTTGATTTTAAGTCTTTCATTGTCCTTTAAACATTGTAGTGACACCGATCAGCATATATCAGCATTCTATTTCATAGTTTATGCTCGCCCTTTAACTGATTTATCGGGCAATATCGCGGTCTGGATAACCGTAGCTTTTACTATCGAACGATATATCGGGGTTAGACTTCCGATGAAAGGTAAAATATGGTGCACTGTTCGTAAAGCGAAAATCGTTTCATTCGTAATTTTTATATTTTGCTTAGTAAATACATTTCCGGAATTTTTCGAAATGGAAATTATTACAAATCAACATGGCCACCTTCGATGTGAATACACAACGTTCGCACAGCATTCAAACTACCAAATTGGATACTACTGGTGGTTCGTGACTATATTCACGTTTGTTCCCTTCTCTTGTTTATTTTTGTTTAACGGCTTGTTGATCCGATCTTTGTTAGAAGCGAAGAAATGTCGTAAACTATTATTAAAATGGGAAAGTAAGCAGGCGAGTTTGAAATACAAACGAGAACAACACAAAGTGACATTAATGTTAATAACCATAGTGATAATATTTCTATTGTGTCAGTTGCCATGGACGATTCTGTTGTTATATCGGACATATTTATCCGAACGGGATCTACAGGAACCAATCAACGATATCCGAATAGCCGGAAACGTATGCAACCTCCTCGTCCAACTAAACGCTTCCGTTAATTTCTACCTGTATTCTTTTTTCAGTAAAAAATTCCGAAAGACTCTAAAGAGGATATTTTGTGTGTGGAAATTTGATACGGAGCCAACATCCATTGTATGATAATGGAATTCGTGTGTTGTACCGGTAGAACGAAAACTATCCCTTCAACATCGTTGGCAAGTTGTTTATGTGCTCTCTATCGTGGTCGTGTATGTGTCAGGCCAACAACACACTTAGAAAATTAAACATCTTTTTATGTTAGATAAGATCAGTCGGGGTCAGGTGTTCAAATTCCTACGAATACAAACTGGAAATCGTGTGTATGTCATGACGGAAGGTATGCTTCACGCTACATATTAATGATCCTTGGAACATTTTCAACATCTTGACATCAAAAGATCATTCGAAAACAGCCGATTTGATGATTTACCGGGAACTATTTTTAGCACACAATGTGAGTGATTCGACTAAATACGCTCAATTCCTGAAGAAACGCGAGTTTGAGGCGCCATCTTGGATCTTTGTGAAGCGACCGACGGAAGGATGCATCACGTGACATTCGCAGATAAACAACAAAGGGTAAACTTATCTCTGGGAACCTGGGTTGCAATACTTGAGAAAAGCAAGAACGATTTCGCACTTTCCTCATGGATAGGGTTCTTATTAAATAATTATCTCTTAATCACAAATCCATATACTTTATAGCTGTATAAACTCTTTGGTCGGCGTTTTTAAAACTTAGTGAAAAAGTCTTACAAGAATTTTGCATTTTTTTGTCTTATTTTATTTAATCAATATTAATTTAAACTGTCGAATATCTTTGATAGAGAAAATATTCTATTTCGTGTCCTTCATTATTGAAGTCAATATGAGTTGTTTATTGACAATACAAGTTTGCCTTGATCTTATATTCTTAACCTGTTTTATCTTTTGTTTGTTCGATTGGGATGGTGTGTAGTTGGGTATACATGTAATTTGTTACTTTTCAGATTGTCCGTTTGTCTGTTTGGTCTTGTTATTTAGAGGGCAATATTGGTGCCAGTCATTATCACATATGTGATAGAACTGGTTAAACACAGAGATCATTGCTACGATAGATGCGTAATCAATGCTTGAACAATCGGAAGTGACGAACGCAAAAGGAAAACACGAGTTATCCCTCTATATAACTGACTGAAGTGACGAGTGATAACAGATGCATGGACGAATTTCTGCTCACTAATAATTCTTTCGTAGACCAAAAGTTGTTGTATGAGACTGTAAGAATATATCTGACAATTCAAAAAAGTAATTGAATGTCATTAGATAAGAGAACACGAGAAAAATATAAAAAGTCCGTACATTCACGTATGTTTATTCATTCTATACTTATAAAAACATGGTAATGCACGGACTTTTTATATTTTTCTTTCATGTTCTCTTATCTAGTGAGTGACAGTCAATTTTTTATGAATTGTCAGATATCCTTTCCCAGTCTAACACAACAACTTTTGGTCTTGGAAGGAATTATTAGGGAGCAGAAATTCGCCCATGTATCTGTTATCACCCGTCACTTCAGCCAGGTATATAGAGGAATAACTCGTGTTTTCGTTTTGCGTTCGTCACTTCCGATTGTTAACACATTGATTACGCATCTAACGTAGCAATGATCACTGTGATAAAATAATATTTGGAACGTGTTTAACCAGTTCTATCACATATGTGATAATGACTGGCACCAATATTGTCCTTTAATTAATGGGATTTCGAGTTTTGACTTTACATAGTTAAAGAAATAATAACAAACAGGTTTTATGTGTGTATATATGTTTCTATTGAAGTTGTGGTCTTAGTTTTGTGGGAACCAGGATTTTATTCTTATGTTTGATGGAATTTATTCTTTGTATCCTTAGTTGAAAATATGGAGGCGATACTTTGGTTCTAGAAGTGTTATTGTACATTTCACTTTGGGGTTATTTATCAGGTGATATGATTTATTTAGAAAGCGATTATAAGCAGATATCTAAGGTGATAGAAATTAAGTTAAGACCGGAGAGCGGCATGTATGATAGTTGGGAGTTGGCACCCGAGGTTGCCAAGCCAAGCTAGGATCATGGCTCCCTCAACACAAGCTAATTGTGGAGTCTTTACCTATAGGAAGCGTTGTACTTGATATGTTTGAAGAACAATAAAAGTATCATATGAAATTAAACCAGTGTTGTCGTCAAAAACCTGATTCAAAAGAACCAATACTGTAACACGGTTCAGTGGTCATTTTGTTATAAATTATTTACGTGTGCAATGCATGGGATTGTGAACGGGTCTTTAACGTTTATGCCACTGTGTTCACGATTCGAGTGACGTCACACTGTCCTTGTCACAGCTCCGCGAATAGGAGTCCCATGGTTACTTTATTAACGAATTCTTAGAGAGCTGGTGCGCTCCTTCGTTACTGGCGGATCCTATACACAAGTACATGTAATATGAAACAAGGCTTTTCCCCCATCTCGGTTCTAAGGCTATTTTCGAATCCTTACCGTCTATTTTTCACCGTGATTCTTCTTTGTTCGCCAAAAGGAATCATTTCTTGCCACATCCGACACAAATTTATAATAATCCAACACTATTTTCGTGTAGAAATTAGCGATCCCAAAACATAATCAAAATTCATTTGAAATGATCCGACATTGTGAAAATCACGTCTGCGCGCAGCCAATATTCCAAATTTAGGAATAGAATGTTACCGTAATGTTACTGAGTACTTTAATAGACTCTTCCTCTCAACCATGTAAGTAGGGCTCGGTGACCGAATGGTTAACGCGTGCCCGTTGCATCATCAGGTCTGTGGCGTGGTTTCAGTTCACTGCTTGTACCTGCCAAGGAGTAGGGTCGCCTGTCCAACCTCGCGGGTTTGGTCCTCCGGTTTCCTCCCACTGTTAAAGACCCCCTACGCGCAAGTGAATTATTGATATAAAATTTAACCATATGTTAGTCCCGAAATGGCCTAATTTGTGTCGAGTGGACGTTAAACCAATCTCTATCATAACAATAAACTGAAAGAAAAGGCAAAAAGCTCTATATCTTAAATAGTTCTACTGCGAGCCATGTAAATATATATATATATATATATATATATATATATTGTTTAAACATATACTATTCAAAAAAAGTAGGGGATATTTGATTTTTAAGTGTTATTAAAGTCACCTAATGAAACTGACGAAGAAACAAATGACAAAATGAAATGAAGTTCACATTCATCGATTTATTCCAAATGATCGTTAGACTAAGTAAGGCACAGACTGACCATTATAAGGGTAAAATGATACCCGGGGTCAAACAGCAAAGTTACCACAGCATCACAACCAAGTCAGTAACGGGTAAATCCTCCTCTGTTTGCCAAACAAGCATTGATCCGACGTGGCATACTCATATTGAGACGTCTAAGGTCATTTTGGTCCAGATTGTCCCATTCCTGTTGCAACGCAGCAGCAAGTTCTTGGACATTGGCAGGACGTTGTTGACGTTGACGTAACCTCTGTCCAAGCATGTTCCAGACATGCTCGATGGGGGAGAGGTCGGGACTCAGTGCTGGCCAAGGTAATGTGGTGATGTTCTGTTGTTGGAGGTAACCTGTAACGATCCTGGCCCTGTGACATCTTGCGTTGTCATCCTGGAAGATGAAACGGCGGCCATGACGTCGTGCGAACGGCACAACATGGACTGCCAAGATGTTTTCCCGGTAGTACTGGCCTGTAACACGCCCTGCAACAACATGTAAAGCCGTTCTTCCAGCAACAGTGATGCCTCCCCACACCATAACAGAACCACCCCCAAATCGATCATGTCTGATGACGTTAACGTCTTGGAAGCGCTCGTTTCGACGACGCCACACCCTCCTACGTCTGTCCAAAAAATCAACAGTGAACCTTGACTCATCTGAAAACATCACATTGCTCCAGCGTCGATTATCCCAGTGTTGACGATCCCTACACCAACGACGTCTTGCCTGAATGTGATGATCTCTCAAACAAGGGATCACGCGAGGCCGTCGGGCGCGAAGGTGACCCCTATGCAGTCGATTCCGAATCGTCTGGCCACTCACTCTCACACCAGTGTCTGTTTGAAGACGGGCGCTGATCTGATTTGCTGTGATGACACGATTTCTCAAGGCCAAGGTACGGATAAATCGATCCTGGGCTTGAGTTGTCGCCCTTGGTCGACGTGAGCGTGGTCTGTCCTGTACAGATTGTGTATCACGGTATCTGGACCATAGCCTGCTTATGACAGACTGAGAAACATTCATCGTCCGCGCCACAACCGCCTGTGTTGTGCCGATCTGTAGCATGCCAAGGGCACGTTACCTTTCATTTTGGGTAAGCCGACGCATATCAAAATTTGTTTTCTGGTCACTAAAACAATTAAACTGATGTTTCCACCCTGGAATTCAATGCCACAATGACTGTAACATTCAAAGTCAGAGTCGTGCAAATCTTGGGTTGGACCCCCATGATGATCCCAAGCATCACCTGCATTCCATGCGGTAGCTATTGGTGCGTTTGGGCGTCACATGTAACTGGAAATGTTGCTTCTGTTAGGTTCTATAGTGACTCTTTTCGTAGTCATTTGCATATTTTAGTATTATGCCCCCAAAATCAAATATCCCCTACTTTTTTTGAATAGTATATATATATATATTTATATATATATATATATTTAAACAATTGCTAGCCAGACTACTACAGTTTATTCATAGTGAATATATCAATTAATTATACGAAACCTTCCTGTCTGTTTAAAAAAAAATTCACGATAAAAATGAAGCACACTACAAAAGTTTCGTGTGTATTGCCAATTTGATGTCATTTTTATACGCCCACAATTTTTATCTGATTTTGACGAAACTCATAATATAGGTCTATCTCCCACAGATATCGGTTCCTTTCGATATTAGCATGTATCGGACCATAACTTCATGGATTATGGCCCCTGATTCTACGAAAAAGCACGTTTTTAGCTTGTGGGCCCTCTAGAGGTCACAATTGTGATCCGATTTTGATGAAACTTGAAATACATGTTTATAACCCAAATATCTTTTTTTTTCTTTTTGATATTCGCGCATATCGGATTGTAACTTCATGGATTATGGCCCCTAATTGTATACGAAAAATCACGTTTTTAGCTTGTGGGCCCTCTAGAGGTCACAATTTTGATCCGATTTTGATGAAACTTGAAATACATGTTTATAACCCAAATATCTTTTTTTTCTTTTTGATATTCACGCATATCGGATTGTAACTTCCCGAATTATGGCCCCTGATTGTACGTTTTTAGCTTGTTGTCCCTCTAAAAGTTAGAATTTTTTATCTGTTAGTATATCACCGTTACCCCCTAATGATAGTTGAATTCGAATTTCGTGAAAATCGGGCCAAAATTGCCGGAAAAAATGACCGCCCATTTTACGCAAATAATGTAAAAAAAATATGATATATCAAGGTTGTGGATCCTCTAGAGGTCACAATTTTCACCCGATTTCGATGAAACTTGGAAGGCATGTTTATATCACAGAGATCTTGGTTCCTGTCAATATTCGCGCATATCGGATTGTCACTTCCTGAATTATGGCCCCTGATTGTAAGAAAAATGGCCCTTTAGGCTTGTGGTCCCTCCAGAGGTCACAATTTTTTATCCGATTTTAAAAAAAAATTTTTTTTTAACATATCACCGTTAAACCCTATAATGATAGTTGAGGGTTAGAATTTTGTGAAAATCGGACCAAAACTGCCGGACAAAATGGCCGCCCATTGTACGCAAATAGTGTAAACATCTGGTATATCATGGTTGTGGACCTCCTAGAGCTCACAATTTTGATTCGATTTGATGAACCTTGAAATGCATGTTTATAACCCAAAAATCTTGGTTCCTTTCGATATTCGCGCATATCGGATCGTAAATTCCTGATTCATGGCCCTTGATTGTACGTAAATTCGCATTTGGAGCTTGTGGTCCCTATATATGTCACAATTTTTATCCGATTTAAAAAAAAAACGTGTGAATATATCACAGTTATACACTAATGATGGTTGAGTTCGAATTTCGTGGAAATCGGACAAAAACTGACGGACATAATGACCGCCCCTTGTACGCAAATAGTGTAAAATATGGTATATCAAGGTTGTGGACCTCTAGAGACCACAGTTTATATCCGATTTGGACGAAATTTTAAATATATGTTTTTATCCTAAAGATCTTGGTTGCTTTTGATAATCACACATACCCGAACGTAACTTCCTGGATTATGGCCCCTGATTTTTAGCTTGTGGATTCTCTAGAGGTCACAATTTTTTTCCGATTTTAAAAACCGTTTAGATACGCTCGTATATAACTAATCCACCATAATGAAGGTTGAATAGGAATTTCGGGAAAATAGAAATGAAAGTGCCCGACAAAATGGCCACTCTTTGTACGCAAATGGTGTATAAGTATGTAATACAAAGGTTATGGACCCTCTAGAGGTCACAATTTTTATCCGATTTTGAGCAAACTTACAGCATATCTTTATATTCCAAACATCTGAGTCCCTTCAGATATTTGCGCATTTCAGACCATAACTTTCTGGATTATGGCCCATGATAGTACAAAACATCATTTTTTATTTTATTTTTTTTTTAGCTTGTTGTCTATCCATCTCTTGCAAAATGTGAGCGCATCCTGCCTGGCAGCCGCTGGTATTCGTGCCAAACATAACAGTTTTCGTAATATTGATCAGCGTGTTTCTGCAGCGTTGAAAGTGTCTATTAGGTGGGTGTATAACGCCAACAAAACAACAACCCACGCCAAGAGAAATTATCCGCAGTATAGAATGGGCAAATTCTAAACGGAATCGACCATTTTTGGATTGATGTTACTTCCATTATATTGTAGTTTGCGAGGGATTAACAATACATCAAATGGCGTTCAAGGACTTTAAGTGTTCGTCTAACGTATGTGACGATTTCCCAATAGCCTTTTTGATGGCTTCGTGTACAATCTGAACGACAGACTCACCCTACCTGCAGAGAAGTGACTCTGACACAGTCAATAGCCATGATATCCATATGACGTTATCTAAACGTCACAGGTCATGAGGCCACATCAACAAACAATTTAATGTAAACACCATCATTATGATCATTATCAACATTACAAGACACAATGTTACATTGTAAACAATAGCCTTCTTGCAGCCTTTAGGACTGTATAATCCGTACAGAACGTCTTATCGCTTCTTCCAATGATTTTTCACGAAAATAACATCATCTACAACTCTACATTTGACGTCGGCATATTGGCACTATTTTGTGCTTCGGTTGTGTCTATTTCAGTTATACACAATCAATTCTGTTAATGTTTTTAGCGTGGGGATTGACTAAAAGTTAATTTATTTCAGTTCTAAACAAAAATTTAAAACTTTAACGCAATTTTAAAAAAATAGCCAAATTCTGGCTGGGATTACTGAGCAAAATGGCCATTCACTGTATACGTGCGAAAAAAAAGCCAGCTACCATTTAATTTTCGTACGTTAGTTACGTACGCTTCGTGTATTGTTATGTTTGACGACTCACCCAATCTTTGTATGCATATTTCGAAGGTTCGTGGTCGGGTCTTTGACAAATATTCACTCCAATATCCCCTGTCGTGAAACAGCTTTTTTTTCTAAAAATTACTTTCTTTTCCTCCAAGCTCCAGAATGCCAAGGAAAGACTCCGGCCTTCACACGTAATTAGAACTTACATTTCAATCACTTCTAGGACATCCAACATGACATGGCGATCTGCAATTGGAATGGTGTATAACGTCTCAGCATTGCGATGATGTGCAGTGCGTGGGATATCAAAATTTCAAGGATTATTAAACGTTTAAGCTACGGTATTCGATCAGTAATTGGAATGATGGTTAACGTCACGGTATTACGGTACAGAGGTCATTTTGTAACAAATTGCTACGTATGCAATGCGTGGGACTGCCAAGGGTACTTTAACGTTTACGCCACTGTGTTCGTCCCATACGAAAGGCACACAGTCCTTGTAGCCCCCCCCCCTCCCCACTGACATCACCCCCAACAAGTGAAGAAATGAAATGGTACAGGGACAACTGGCACAAGGTAAAAATAACGTATGCGATATATCTCATCCAGCCTATATTTTACAATTACAATATTTAAACAATTATTAGGCAAGAGATAAATCTGCCAATTGCAGGTCTTTCTTTAGGTCTGAAATGTTATCTAAATTATTAATTAGAAATTAATTAACGAATCCAGACAATGATTAACTCTTGATGTCATCGCTAGCCTGTGATATTTACTGGATTAGAGCCCGATATGTTGCTGCTGATTAAATAAAAAAAATGGATAAACTAGACTATGTTTTTTAATGACTTTAGTAATGAAGATCGAGTCTAGGCCGAAAGTTCAATCGCTGAAATCTCGGTTCTGAGTGGATCAATTTGACAGAAATTTTCAGCAAATTCCCTTTAGATTATCTAGTTTTTAACTATTATAGTGAGAATTGTCAGCTCTGTATCTAATCTCCCATAATGTATCTTTAAATTATTATTTTGTATATTTTTTTTGTTTTTAAAATAACAACTACTTTCGCGTAAAATTAGATTTCTTAAAAATCAACATATTTATTTATAAACATCAGCAAATTTAACAGCAAACAAGTTTATCTAAAAACATCAATATGTTTCTTAAAATATCAAATTTAATTAGTATCGTAATCTAGCTGTTGACAATTTTTTGCCATTTTATTTTTCAAGTTGATTTTGGGAATTTTGTGCTTGATCAACCTGTTGACGAGATGCATCTTCTGAAAGTATCATGCCGCCACCCTGTATATCTTGGGCTAACTGGTCACCTTTTTCCTCTTCGGCACCGTTTAAGGTTCCATTTTTATTATCATTATTTTGATTTTCTGAATCAAACATCCTACCATTTTGATTTTCTGGATCATGCATTCTACCTTCTGGATCGTTAACTCCGTGATTTGACTTTTCACGGCTAATATGTTCTCCATTTTTATTGTTTTCTGCATATTCTTTTCTGTCCTTTTGATTATTTTCTTTCATCTCCTTTTCACCATTTTGTTTACCTTCCATGTGTTTATCTACTTCTGGTTTTGTGTTCATGTGTTCGTGATTTCTAGACACAAATACCGTTATACACATTAGAATTACAGAAACCAGATCAACACCAATAACAAAACCATGAAATTTATACCGGAACATATTGATATCATACAATGTGCATGCCCCTCGTTCACCACACCGTGAATCCCAAACGAGACATATAGAATCTATAATTTTACCATAGACTAACGGCCCTAGCAACCAACCTGCATAAAAAAATAAAGATAAAAAAGAAATTAGGTTGAACGTCCTACTTTTCTGTACCAACCGGGCTAATGAAGACAGACATACACCACGCAGTATGCTATGAGGGAAATCTTGGCCGGACAGTGGCAAATTCGAAATTCAACTGCCAAGAGATTGTTAACGTGTATGCCAACTTGTAGACAGAACTATGGATCTTCTTCCCATCCGAATGACTAGACAACGTCTCTTGTCCTGCACAGCTGACAAGGGGAATTCACGCTGGAAAATTCCGGGTAACTTTCTCAAATTCCGGCTCGCCCGAACCAGAGTGCCAGCACCTTACGCACTGACAAACAGTATAGAACAAAGGAATTAAATGAAGCATGTCTCGTTTCAATAGTGATAATATCCTGTCTGCATTAGCCCGGTGGGACGTTAAACCCCATTTCCAATAACCCTCTTGCGCATGGTTCGTTGAAATTCGATTATTTTTTTTTCGCAGCCAGATGTCATCTTTCCAATCAGCTCTACATAATTAGTTGAAATTAGATTTTCTTTGCAGCCAATATGATAGCTTCAATCTCCGCGTATGATAATCAAGTGATTATTAGGAACGGAAATAACCAGAAGGCGAATACTACTGGTGTTAGACGTATTTTGAAGATAAGCCTACTTTGGGAAATTGACGAGTATTCTAGACATAACTTACCAAATAACGAACTGAAAAAACTGATGAGAGCTGTGCCAAGTGGTTTCTGCTCTTCTGTGACACACCTGGGGATTGAACAAAGTGATATATTGCACTTAAAGGGCCAATCCTGATAATATTTTGGAGAATAAAACTGCTTAATTTTGTGTTAAAATCCCTTAAAATCCTCGAGCTTAGAGCCGAGCAACTAACTCAATAATATGTGATACGTTTTCAAACAACTTAAACCTGTCAGTCTTCATCTGCAAATGGAGACCGGTGTCCAAAGCTGTATATGCGGTGTCTGGATAAAACCAGACTTATATTTTATAAAAATAATGTATCGGTGAAATGTACCGTTCGTTATCAGGTACAGCACATGGATCATTCACTGTATAGACCTCTAAAGGAATGGGAATCGATTATCAGGTCACCCAACGAAAAAATTGATCCGAAATCTTAAAAGGGTTACGTGTCCGGATAAGCAGTTTTGACGTCCAAACGACTCAATATTTTGAGCTGAAATTTTGAGACAAGGTAATTACACCACTCCTCTATACTTTGGCGATTAAATTTCATACGTACCCGGACTTTAATTTTTGAGACGCTGATCAAATCGGGATAGTCCCTTTAAACATACATTTTTGCAGGACTTTCTTTGTGCTGCAAATGTTATATAAACTATTTTTTAAGCATGTAATACTATTAACACGAGAAGCCTATAATCAACCCTTCGGGCCATCAGATGACTGTGATTTTAGGCAGATTAGAACGCTTCGATCATTTAATGATTAATTTAAAAATGGAAACACCAGATTAAGTCTCGAATAACAATAATATTCCTTACGATAATAAACAATAAATGCCACATATTGTCAAAACTCCAAACATTGATAATTTCGCTCGAAATAAAGACATTTGAATGAAATTTTTAGTATTTTCATTTTGCATTATCTACGTTAAACTATTATAGCAAGAACGGTCAGCTTTTTTATCTAAATCATACATAATGTATCTTTAATATTGTATCTCGCAACAGGAAATCACGAAAGCGTAGATCCGTATTGTCACTGTTACGAGCATAGATACCGTCTTTCACGACAAAAAATGAACAGGATTTAACATTACCTCAACACAACAGTTTTGGGGTTAACATAGGTTAATTTTGTTACGTGTGAAATTCAAGGAGGATAATTTTGACCGGGCTTTTCATTAATCGAATTTCAACCGTTAAGCTTTAATTTGTGCCAATCAACACTTTCTTTGTCAGCCTGCCGGCTCAACTCAGTGTTCCACTCGCCACAGATCGGGATTTGAACTCTGGCTGAGCTACATCAAATGTTTTGCTTTATGTTACCTTTGTCATGTGTGTAATATGTCTTAGCGACCGAGTAAGGGTATTGATTGTAGGACCAGATTTGACTGCGGTAATGCTGCGGTAAAGTTGTATGTCTAGTCATTCATTAGATATGAGAATATCAACTATCCACTTTGTCTTGAAAGTAGCGCAAACCCTCTCACCTGATCATTGTGATATACTTAGGTATAATACAAGTCGTTCCAATTAATGCAACAATGGCACTTAATATCACATAAGGATATAAATAAGGACAGTCTGTAGTACAGAACCCCGCTGTAGCCCTGCCTGACGTAATGCATGTACAATTCATGTAGGTCTGAAATGAGAAGAAGGGCGCAAAGTCTGTTATCTAAAATAAACATAACAATAAGTTGAAATAACAAAGGGCTTTTTATCTTAAATAAAACTACTTCGAACCATCCTACCAAAAATGAAGCGTCTTCATAACGTTTGCATAAACTATGAAAAACTTACATTTTTGAAATCACCGTCGTTAAAATCGGACTCGTATTGTCGACTTGTCTGTTTAATACATAACACGTATCACGTGTTGGACGAAACCATTTCAGCGGGAACTTAATTTTATTCACAGTGAAAATATCAATTATTATACGGGGTTTTAAACTGATTTCACGATGAAAATGGAGCTGAACGACAGAAGGTTCAGAGTGTATTGCCAATTTGATTTTATTCTTTCGTGCTAAAGATAACCGTTTTCGTAACATTTATCATCGTGTCTATTAGGTGGGTATACCACATTCGGTAATTGTTAGCACAACGTTATACGAGGAAAAGTAACTACCCACAGGCTGTATAGAAAGAGCCAATTTATATGTGTACATGATGAACGGAATTGGACACTTTTTGGATTGAAATATTCACAATATTGTAGATTGTAAGGGATCAATACATCAAATGCCGCTCAGAGTCGTACTTCCAAGTTTATAGCCACATGTATAGTTATGTTTGTACGGATATTTGAATGTTATTGTCAGGTCTTTGTGAAATATTATTCCTAACATCCCCCGCGAAGCACCTACACATGTATTGAAAATGTATTAATTTTGCAATTTTTATTAAAATTACTTTGTTTTCCTCCTAGTTCTACACTTTCCAGAAGGCCAAGGAAAGAGTCGGGGCTTTCAAAAGTAATTAGAACTTACATTTCCATCACTACTAGGACATCCAGCATGACATGGCGAGTAAAAGTTCTGCTGATCATCACTACAAATGGGGAAGAACTCTTCATCTTTACATTGACAGTTGTCATAGCAGCTGGAATTCTGTAATGGTGAACTGAAAATAACAGAGTCTTCATTTAAAACTTGAATTACTAATTCAGACAAACTTTCTCGTAAGTAAACATCGTGGGCTATAACGATCTCTCCGGGTAATCAATAGAAAGATGCATTATGTAAGATTTAAAAAAAAGGGATGGCCATTCGTGCTTTAATAGTTATATGACTACTAATAAATTGTTGTTTAAATAAATTGTTTTTGTTTTTATATGACTATGAGTGGTCTCCGTTTTGGTCCGAGTGACCTTTTGTTTTTGGTCTGACTGGTCTTGGTCCGAGTGGTCTTTGGTCCGAGTGGTAAATGTTAGTAAATAATAATTTATATAACATTTGTAGCCAAAAAAAGACCTGCAGTTTTTACATAATGCACCTTAAACAAACAAGATATCAGTCTTGATATGTCTGTAAACGTGGATACGATTCAGATCTACTTGACGTTATTTAATTTACAATCAAAGCAATACATTGGAAATTCAAAAATGTTACAGTTTAAGAGAATACAATAAGATAGCCTATTTGAGACCGTAGTACAGCTGGAAATACGTGAGGTACTGCCCGGACGTAATTACAGTATCTAGTCCGCTTACCAATAAATCGGGGGCAATTATAATAACTCTTACCCGGGCATGTTGACTATTTCCGGTTGATCACAACCAAACACGAATCCGAGGCATTTTAAGCCCAACAAGATGAAACTGACTATAATGACGTATTTCAAATTTCCCACTGGTGTAAACTTAAATCTTTTTGTTAACCAGCCTCCGAAAAACGTCCCTATAGAAGCTGTTGTCAAACTTAAACTAGCTGAAAAATCAAAACTCATTGAAAAAGAATTGAAAGCAATATATTAGTACATCGGGTCAATTCAGTCCACGTTGACTCATTCCGACTTTCAGTACTCGAAGGTTACCTGGTAGGGACGCGTGTCATGTTCGGGTCAGGGCATGCTTACTTCTTTTGGTAGACCAGATGCAACTTCTCGCTATTTTGGGTAGCTATACATGTTATTAATCTTTGGTAACTGACGGCGTTGGTGTAAATATCTTTTTCAAACATTGGATTTGAAGTACTCTGGAACCAGACAAAATGAAGTTAATTTTTCTCCGTTACTTACCAATAGTAATATTTGTCTGCCAGGCTGTTAAGCTAAATTGATTTTCTACGTATTTAGGTAAAAACGATCTGGACCCCGCTACAGCGAACATGTGTAGACAGGATGTAATCTGTAACATCACAAATATAGGATTCGCCATAATCTTGATCAGTAAGTGACAAAATCCTGTTGAGAGAAAGAAGGGAACGGGATTTAACGCCCACTCAACACAAATTATTTCATTTTAATACAATAATATTAGCAGCGTGTGCCAAACTACGCAATTAAGCAGACAAAGATACTGAACTCGCAATACTGAACGGGCTCACGGTGGGATAATATCTATAATGACTGTTCTTTCTAGAACGCATGACACCACTATTAATTAGCATTTGAAACCCTAAATTGAATAACCGATACAAATTACCATTTGAGAAGCTACCAATCAATTTGCACTGGCTTTTGACATATTATGAAACATCAAGTTTCATCCCAGTTGCAAACATTAAAGTGGAGGTGACAAGGAAATGAAATGAAATGGGGTTTAAGATCCTAAAGTTCTTCACTATTCGGGCTATCGAAAACGTCAAATCAAAGAGAGAAGTAGGTCTTACTTCTCAAAATTATAGAACACACTAAATACAGAACAGAAGATCAAAACAAAACAACACTTTAAACTTAACTTACGTTTGACATTTTCTTTAAAATCACCCCAGTTCTTAAACCCCGGTCCAACGTCCGGTTTGTTCTCTGGTCTGGGTTTACGACCATTCAGATATTTAGGAAACAAAAATAGAGGCAGTGCCAGAATTATCGCTGCCACACCAAACACAACGAAACCTAACCACCATGCTCCTATCCACCTTGGGTGACGGGGACCGATATTTACATCTTAAATATGAAATAGAAACATTACAATAAGTTTAATTCTGCATTCAATCAATATCTTCACAATCTGTCGGTTCTCTTTTAATGCTTAGTAAAACGCGCGTAAATGCAATGACACGCCATTATTACTTTGTTAATAATCAAAATTAAGAGAGCAAAAAGCAGTGTTACGAGCGTAAATTATTCAATTAAGGTTGTATTCTTTGCATTGTCTACTAAGAAGTATCCCTCTTTATAAATAAATTAGAAGTGCTTTTTGGCATTGTACTATATTCATTTACGGTAGTTTTGTTTGTATTGTCTACTAACTAAGAAGTATCCCTCTTTGTAAATAAATTAGAAGTGCTTTGACATTGTACTAATATAATATTACTTCACTATTGGGTACTATTGTTTTGATACCTTCCCATTCAGGAAACCCACTTACAATTTACTCGATTTTGCCCTCGGATCCCTTTGTCCATTTACTACGTACAGTATTTGTAGTAGAAGTATGTATTATAAGTATTGGATAATATCGATGTAGACTACATAACAGTGATCTGACAAGTTAACGACAAAGTAATGATTTTCCTGATTCAAGTCTATAGACAATCTGATAACATGGACTAAACAGATGCGTGTTAACGTGTGAAAATGATTACATCTAGCACAGAAGATCCCGCGAATTATAATGACATTCATTAAGAATCATCATGAATATTGCAATTAATGACATCTGATAAAGATGATATCTAAATCTCATTCTATGTGCATGTACGATATGAATATAGGACCCGTAATGCATGAAGTTATCTATTCAATCCTGAAGGAAGGATAATTGCGGAATTGGATTTACTGTGAACGATATAATATATATATATATATATATATATATATATATATATATATATATATGTGTGTATTTTTGTAGGGTGTGCTGCGTTACTCACCATCTAAGGTAACATATATTTTAGTAAAAACTCCGCCAAGTGTGAAAGCCACAGCCGGTCCAAATATAGATAGACTTATTACGATACCTGAAGCAAAACAAAGGTAAACACAGTTCAGTAATTCTATTTAGAACACGAACACGAACTATTTCAGCTGGGCAATGACATATTTTCGATTATTTTAGAATTGTAATAGTGACATAGCAAAGGATCGAAACTCTCGATCACATCCAACCCCACCTTCAAGTAAATATAAACCCTATACTAAACTATTAAATTTGGAGTAGATGGAAAGTGGACACCCGATCAAAGAAACATTTCAATTAAAAATGATATCAGATGTTTAAGATAACTAGACACTAGCTAGTCCGCGACAATAACAATGGTACTTTTATATTTGTTGTCCTAATCTGCTCATCTTTAGGAGCCACGGTGCCCCAGTAAGGTACTGCCTCACTAACCAGTGGTGCAGATGGGAGGACTGACAATGAACGGCGTCTAGTAGTTCGGATAAGACGAAAACCCGAGGTCCTACGTACACGTGTGCAAACAAAAGTACACTGTATGGCGTCTGCCCGTTTTGTGCAGAAAAGAAGGACATTAAATCATATTTCACTTCATTCCTCTTCAGTATTAATTGATATTAATATTCAAAGTCTCGATAATGAACAAAGCTATCATGAAAGTAGCGAAATCCGCCAGAGATTCAGGGGCAACTCTATTCTGATGAAAACGCTTAGACGGCATCGGAATGATTACTAAGTTAATGGTATAACTTGGATAATTCGTAGGAGACTAAGTATAAACATGAGACATTTCCTGTATTTGCAATGCATCTTTGGTGATGACCGAGACCCATGAAATAAGTCTACTGATAATGATAGTCTACCAATAACAAATTACATTGATCGCTTTATTTTCATTTTACAACGAGTTGTTGGGCGACTATTAATTACCGAATTGACCGCATTGTTTTATATTGCTGGGGTGTCAACTAATAATAGTTTCTTCGGCGACATACCAATTTGACCGAGTTGTTTTACATTGAAGGGATGTCTCAAAGCAAATAATAGTCCGTAAGGCGACGGTTAGGTATAGAATTGACGGGTTGTTGTACATTGAGTGGGTTGGCCGAATGATTTGCACATGCGTGCTGTATCAACTAATAATAGTTTCTTCGGCGACATACCGATTTGACCGAGTTGTTTTACATTGAAGGGATGTCTCAAAGCAAATAATAGTCCGTAAGGCGACGGTTAGGTATAGAATTGACGGGTTGTTTTACATTGAGTGGGTTGGATGGCCGAATAATTTGCACATGCGTGCTGTATCATAAGGCCTGTCATTGAGTCAACCGGCGTGGTTTCAGTTTCCCTGTTGTAAGTGACAAGGAGTAGGGTCGCGTGTCCAACCTCGTGGATTTTCTCCGGGTCGACGGTTTCCTGCCACTGCTAAAAGACCCTACGCGCAAGCGAATTATTGAAATAAAATTGAACCATGTGTTTGTCCCAAAATGACCCAGGGGTAACTCAATTTCAACAAATAATAATCCGGGAGGCGACTGTTTTGTATAGATTTGACCGGGTTGATTTACATTGAAGGGATGTCTCAATGTCAAATTATAATATAGTGCGTATGGCGACTGTAAGGTGCCGAATTGTCCGGGATGTTTTGCTGCGAAAAATTAATGTTCCAGGCTATACCTCGATCTATTCCAATACAAACTGTCCCGTGTTACAGTTGGAATTCTAAAAAAAAGACACTGTCCGAGCAAACTTCCCCGATCTCATACTGGGGGTACGTTAAACCCCCATTTCTATTTCGCAGAAATGCGCATCTTCATGTGGTTGGCGTGCCTGGATAGCCATGTCTACATACTTGCCTCACTTGAGTTAGGTATCTGCCGTTCAGTAGATCTGTCGATCACCCGAAGCCCCGGACAAGTTATTTGGGCCACTTAGTGAGATTTTGACTTAATTTGTAGACTGCCCCGCCCCTCCCCCTTTATTTATGGGTACCCTGTGAAGTGTATTCTACATTGTGTTGAGTAAAGTTGGGATTAAGTAATGAAGTCATGATAAATACATGCTTACCTAAAAGAAATCCCGTCTTTGCTTTCTCGGTATTATTATCCATGTAGCATACGATGAAGGTATGTTTTGGTCCCTTAGCGAACCCTTGTAGTATCATTCCAATTACAATTATCCACAATGATGTTCTAGCCTTAGTTCCACTGATTCCAAAACTTGGTGGGACGTCAATGCCTGAACTATCAACAGAACATTCTGTTTGGTTGTTGGTGGTACACATTTGACCAGTCGGCATTCTTCTTACAGAGGTAACGTCGTCATTTCTGATTGTTAGGATTGAATCAACACCGAATAGGAAGTGAGGTATGCTACACGTGATACCGGAAATACCGAATAATATAACAGCCATCGACAGCCATCTTGGAATGTGCACTTTGGGTGCTAGGTAACCAACAAATAAAGTACTAACCAGGAAACCTATATCGTTAGCCGCCAGGATGAGACCTTCAAATATAAATATTTTACTTTGACTGTTCGGATAGCTTTTAATGTGTATCTATAGTATTTTATAAAAGAAATGAAATGAAATGAAATGGGGTTTAACGTTTTGCTCCTATGCTGGGCTAATGAAGACGGGCATACGCCATACAGTGTGCTATGAGGGAAATTTTGCCCGGGCAGCGGCACTATCGCCTACTCTTATATCGAATTGCAACTGCCAAGGGATTTTTTACGTGCATTCCAATGTATACACGGGACCTCGGTTTTTCGTCTCATCCGAAGGACTAGACAGCTGTCCTTGCCAGGCCCTCCGTCCTGCATCACTGACAAGGGGGAACCACGCCGGAAAATCTGGATGAACTTTCTCGGCCAATGCAGGGATCGAACAGCCGACCTTCAGGCTAGCGAGCCAGCGTCTTACCCACTTAGCCACGTGATACCCTATTCTATAAAAGACGAAACAACCTAAATTGATTATGCATATAGGGTTGATGTTATTGACGAAACTTTCGTTCGTATTAATACTCTGTCTAGATTTTCCATTCAAATTGATCACTCCATCTAGAGATCTGTTACCATTTGGGGCCCTAGTAACAAACATCAAAACCCGAACAATTGGCGACAGACTAAGAGAACAAATGATTCAGTTACCAGTGGGTGGATTATTTGTGCTTGACAACGCAAACAGCGGAAATTATTATGCGCACAAATTTAGGCCATAAAAATATATGCTGGTTCACAATATTTCTATATATTAACCCAATGTCTCGGTTGGTTTAGCAAGAAATAGAAAACAATAAAAAAAACCACATAGCTTTAGTCAAATAAAATACGTACGTAGACATTAAGTAATTGTCTTAATCCCTACCTGTTTCCGAGCTGCTGAAACCAAATTGTCTTTCAAGTGTAGTAACTTGTGAATTGACATAAACTATAAGAGTTGAGGTGAGAAGAGAACAAATTGAAAAAACACCGGTAAAGACAGGTAGAGTAGCCAAGGGGCGTAAACAAGCCGGTTTACATATTCCTACGCCACAGCCCACATCACCATAGTCACACTCATCTTTCTCAACCGATGTGATAAACTTCTCTTTTTCAGATCCTGCCTTTTTCTCCGCCATATTATCTAATAAGAAAATTTTTTAAAAATATATATACGATTGATTAGGCACATGTTCGTATATATTTCAAAATTCAAACATTTGGACTTATAATGTACGTAGAAACTGTTATGCACGCACAATTTTGCATAGAATGAGAGAGGGGTGTAATGGTCACTAAGCAAAAACTATGTCATTTCGGAACTACGTATGATTCAATTTCATTTTAATCGCGTGTGCGTAATAGTAATCACAGTGAGAGGAAAGCGGAAGACCCGGAGAAAACCCACGAGGTTGGACAGGCGACCCTATTCTGCACGTTAGACAGATAAAGATTGCAGTTTGAAATCAATACAAACCAGTCAGAATCTATTATAATGTTAACGTTCAATATAAAGCAGCAAATGTATACCGACATATGGATATCAAATATTAATTGCCAATGTGCCGCGTTGCAATAAAAAGCCGAGTTTTCGATAATCATTTTTCAAGGTATTTTGCTTATAAAATCGTTGATTATCATTGGATGTTAATAAAACTGCCGGCATTGTATGCCCAGTGTCACTTAGATCATATCAATGTTTACACGTGACCTCGTTTTTTCGTCTCATCCGAATGACTAGACAGCTGTCCTTGTCAGGCCCTCAGTCCTGCATCACTGACAAGGGGGAACCACGCCTGAAAATCTGGGTGAACTTTCTCGGCCAATGCAGGGATCGAACATCCGACCTCCAGGCTAGCGAGCCAGCGTCTTACCCACTTAGCCACCGTGACCGCCAGGGAGCGAGTACATCCATATCAATTTCAGAGAGCTAGTCAGTCCATATTGATTTCTAAAGATATATATGAGTTATCGTAGCCTACATTATGCTAACAAAACACGTGAGCGACGGACGGGCGGACACACAGAGTGACGGCAATGCATCTACATTAAAATTTGGGCATATAAAAATGGACACTTTCAATATCTAAAATATAATGATATTAAAACAAAATTCGGAAATATTGTGCGTAAAATAATAAAAATATGAATTGTTTTATTTATTAATATTTGAAATTTGCTAAATCCGATTTTGTGTCCTAGATAAATTATTTACTGTCCCATTTGTATGAAACAAAGTTTATGTGGTGTAAAATCATAGAGGTTATTTATATGACATTAAAGATACATTATGCAGGAGCTAAATCTGCCTATTGCACGTCTTTCGTTAGGCCTGATATGTTATCTTAATCATTAATTAGACATTAATTAACTTAGCCAGACCATAATCAACTCTCGATGTCATCGTTAGCCTGCGATATTTACTGGATTTGAAACAGATCGGCTGCTCAACGCTCATTGATGATTACGTCAAAAAATGGATGTTCGAGGCACTTTTTTTTTATCGTACCGACTTTAGTAATGATGATCGAGGCTAGGCCTAAAATTCAATCACTATATTCTCGGTTCACAGTCGATCAATTTGACTGAAATTCCTTTTATATTATCTAGTTTTCTAACTATTATAATGATAACTGCCAGCTCTTTATCAAATCTTCCATAATGTATCTTTCATAAAGTTACGCCCAGATTTGTTTTTTCTTTTAAAAGTTCGCTGTTGTTTTTATGCTAAAATGATTTCAGGGTGAAAAGGTTTAAACAAAATTGATTGTCTTTTTAAAATGCATTGTTAAATGCGAAATCGTAGTTAGGAAACATTGCTGACATGGTCAAAGGGAGACTACTATGTCTATTCTTCAATTACAAACGATACAATGGAAAACCGCTTCTGAATGATTATTTAATAGAATAATTCTATATCGAACAATTGCAGAGAGATTGAGAGATGGGGTTCAGCGCCCACTCGACACAAACTAAGTTCGGGACGGCCATATGGTAAAATTATCTCCCTCTCTCTCACTCCCGATTGCGCGTAACTTAGTTAAAGCTGAACTCTGATTACAAAACTACAGAAATAATTAAATAAAAAAATTAACACATTAAATAATCGCCATACTTGTTTTCAAGCTGTAGAACAATCATGGCGATTGTACGGCGTACAAAAACAGAGCAAGGCCACGCCCACATCCAGTGCATGCCTTATCAACCACACTGTCCACATCCGGCTAGCAATATTTCAGTTGACTATTTAATTATTTCTGTAGTTTTGTAATCGGAGTTCAGCTTTAAGCTTAGTTATAGAGTTAAATCACAAACTGGTTTGTAACAGAACATTATCAGTGTTGAATATCAAATTAGTATCTATGTACTATTATTAAATTTATCGGTACTCCTATCAGTTAGAACATGTTTTTACATAAAACACAAAAAACAATATTATATTAGATTTACAATTGTTATATGTAAAGTTTACAAATATTGCTGGATATTCATATAGAGAGGATACTGTCTTCTTTTTTTTTGGGGGGGGGGGGCAGTGAGTAAGATCCTGGAGGTCGCGGGTTCGCTCCCGGTGTTGGCCGAGAAAGTTCAATGGGATTTTCCGGCGTTGTTCCCCCTTGTCATTGGAGCAGGACGGGGGCTTGACAAGGACAGTTGTCTAGTCGTTCGTATGAGACAGGAATCCGAGCTCCCGTGTACACATGGGCATGCTCGTAAAAGGTCCCTTGGAGGTTGGCATTCTATATAAGGGTAGGCATTAGCGCTGCCATCCGGGCAAAATTACCCTCATCCCATACTGTATGACGTTAAATCCCATTTCATTCCATTTCCTATTTTGGGGTGATTTATTTTACATCAGCAACTTAGTATCAAATTTTAATTTTCGATTTGACAATGCTGTTATACAGAGACCATTCAGTTTAGATTTTATGGAACGTTTAGTCTGTTTTGAAAATCTGTACACCACTCAGAGCTTTCTAAATTTGGATCCGGGTTTCTCTGCAACCTGCTTATATAGGTTATGTCGTAAGTTGTGTTTAAATAAAGACTAACGCATACTAGGTAACACGAAAAAATACAGCTAAGTGGCAGACCCAATACATAATGTAGCCTATTATACAGCATGAAACAGTCGCTCATAAGTCCGAGATGGGTCATGCAAGGTTTACATCGGTGATACACTCCGTAGATATAAATTTGTTTTGGTTTTATATATTTTTTTATTATTTATTTTTTTTTTTTTAATAAATACCTTTTGATCACACGCAGTTTTATTACCTGAATAGAGGTTACCATTGATAAAAATAACAGTGATTTAGGATGTTTTGAACTAGGGACCTACTTGGAGAATATATTGCTGTAAATAAATATATAAATATATATTTTTAATATTTAATTCCCGCAAAACGTTTACATCTGGTGGGAAACCAACCAATACATTTTTTTACACCAGCCATTTTACAGCCGCAATAATGGACCGCATAGAAGCATAGTTACGCGTCTTGCTTTTTCAAATATATATTGTATATATATATATCAATTGGTTACTTACTTTCCTGTTTTCAATAGTGAGTATACTCTTCTGTAATCTGTCTCAACAAAGCACGAAACGGGCAAACTAAATATATACTTCGTGTCTTGCATATATCTCTCGTATGATAATACCCCAGTCCAGTTCGTTGTTTATCTTTTGGATTCAAATTAGTCGCATTTATGGACTAAATCTAATTTGAATATACGTCTCATTATATGAATATGTATATACATGAGTGTGTACATGAATATAAGATAGACCGTGCGTAAATGGCTGTTCTCGGGCATGTTTAAGTGAAGGTGGGGGAGGGGTGGGGAGTTACATTATTTTATTTCAATAACAGGCGACCATACTCCTTATTTGCGTGAATCAAATGGGGTTGAACGTCTCGTCTGCCAAGAGATATTATACGTGAACGTCATAATACACGGGACCTCGGTTTTATCGTCCCGTCCGAACGATAGCACTATTTAATAAGGTAGCATCCAGTTTATATAACAGGCGCCTGTAACGTGGAAAAAAAGAAACGCATAGTGACATTTCGTCGTCTGTATACCCTAGTCTACCGTCGCCTCGTTGCAACAGGAACCGCGACTCGTCGCTGAACCAAACTGTTCTCGAGCGTTGCTGTGGCCATACCCTGTGTGTCTGAACCCATTGAAGTCGGATTTGACGGTGTCGGCGTATTTCAAAACAACAGCTCTAACGGACGTCTGGCTCGTAATCCGGTTTCACGTAGGCGTCTATGGACTGTCTGGTCTGAGATTCTACGCCATCCAAGAATTGCTGATGTAGTAGAGGTCGCTGTTGTGAACTGTTTCCGCAAATGACGAAACCAGATGTGACAATCCAGGGCAGATCGGGCCACTCTTATTTGGCCTGAGCTTGGTAGACAATCGGGCCTACGATGTCGTTTAAAAAGTATCCACGTGACACTCTTTAATTATCCACGTGACTTGATTGTCTACCTAGCGAAAATTAGTGAGTATTGCACCTGGTTGACGAAATCTAGAGTAGCGAACTTTGATCCCAATTATTTAATTCCAACCCGTTTCTCACCTTGGTATTATTATATCTATACTGAAAGAGAATCGATTTCAGACGAGTTATTTGCTCCTGAGTTAGAAACTGGGATCAGACCAGTTATTTGATAATCTCGCTTACGAACATGGACGTAACAGACTTTAGACATATACTTAGGCATAGCTTGATGTTATTTTTGAAATATTTTCCACGTTACAGGCGCCTGTGGTTTATATCTCTAATCTATAATGCGTGTTATACATTTTGTGCAACAATCATCGACGTGTGAACACGTGGACACTCAGTGTAGTTCCTGTTAAATTTCACTTTTCCCTCTTTTATTTTATCTGGACATTTTGTCTAGAATCGTAGAAGTAGGTTTAAATTTACATTTTCTGAAGTGTTTCTACTTTGTTTTACTGCAAAGTTGCATTAGCTCTAAATAATTTTTTAACATCATAAATACATTCTCCAAATGTCTTAGTGACATGTCCCTTGAAAGATAAACATGGTCACACGACATGACCCTTTACAGATTAACATGTACATAAAGTTTTGTAATACTGTACAATTGATCGTGTGTTATCTTGACAGTGGATGACGTAGCCCGATGGCCCAATCCCCCCCTGCCTGTATACACACTGGCGTATAGGTAAAAAACACCTTGATAGTTGGAATTCGAAATAACAATAGGCTGTAGCGCCGCTCTCCCGGCTAAATTTCTCTCATAACACATTGTATGGCATATGCCTGTCTTCAATAGCCCAGTCGGAACAGAATAGTAGGATGTTAAACCCCATTTCATTTACAGATATAGACAAAAGATTTCTGTCATTAAATCATACAAAATAAATTAAAGGGGAATTATGGAAGATTAGACAAAAAGCTGGCAGTTCTCACTATAATAGTTAAAAACTAGATAATGTAAAGGGAATATGCTGTAAATTTCAGTCCAATTGCTCCACCCTGAACCGAGATTTAGCGATTAAATTGTAGGCCTAGGCCTATCCTCGAACATCAGTACTAAAGTCTGTAAGATAAAAAAAACATAGTCTCGATTGTGCTAACTTTTCGGCCATCCCCTCCCCCCGGGATATTTTGAACCAGGGGACTGGTCCTCAAGCGTTACTTATCTTGTTAATGTTCTTTATCTTTTTTTGGACGTTTCTGAAATTTTACTTCCAATTCCACCAAGGGTGATAACGTAGACAAAGAAAAAAACGTTAGGTCTTCGTTTTTTATATTACGTCACATGATGGCTGTAATGGCGTCGTGTTCGGTTCCCATAGTCCATAATACAAAATGCTCGTACTTGTTTGGCGTCAAAAGATACACTGTCAAGTTGCCTAAAACATGCTGACTCAATGACACCAGCCCCGCCCCCACCCCACCCCCTCGCCGGCTAATAAGTCGGTCCAATGCAAATGTAATGGACCGTTTCCATGTAAGAGTTTCCGTGCGCGAGAAAATGAGTAGGTACCCCCCCCCCCCCCTCGACCCTCCCCACCCAGGCCCGGCTGCTCGCTACCACAGTGACTCTGGTCTGGACTAGTTAATAATCCACGATACATTTTCTAGTCATCTCGAGTACTATTCGCTAAAATTTATCTTATAATTAAGGCCAGAAAAAAATACATCACGTGAAGTCATCATGTTTATATTTTATAACTGTTAACAATGACACAGCTTTTGTATTTTAATAAAGAGAACTTGGCCTTGATATATATTGTTTCAGTTACTAATAAATTGTGGTACATGATAAATATTAATGAAGTTTGTTAGATAATATTGTATCAAGGTTACGGTTACCAATGGTATAGCCAGGATATTGCAGCAGAGAAAGAGAGGAAATTAGATGTAAGTAGAGGTCTAATTGGCAGAGAAATTGAACTCGTACATTTCCGACTAAATAAGTCGAGAAAACAGCTTCGATGAATCCATTATTATCTGTCAGAAAAAATAGCGTCGCCGTAAATTTCAGTGTTAAGTCATATCCCGCGTACTATTGAATTAATACCGTCTTTAATATACAAAACTCTACATAGATATTTTACATTTTAAGAACACCCTAAGGTATTTTGAAAACCATCAAAATCTACCAACAACTTTTTTCATATCCATGTTGAATCGTCTTTTGATGAGGATGGTAGAGTATCTAGATTTGTTTTCAGATCTGGATTACTATAATGACCAACACAATATCATCAGTAAGAAAGATTCCAAATACAAAGCTAGCACCGAGCGCAGAACAGATTAGACACTTGTTTAAAGGGGAGGGGTGGACCCTTGTTAATTGTTTCCGATAATATAATAGTTTCATCTTTAGGAAATGTTTCTACTACCTCACTTCCGTTCAATTTGTAGCAATATAGCCAAGGTCACTGACAATGTATAAAATTCTCGCTAGACAATTATGAACCAGTTTCCCACAAATGTTAAGGATATGATCGTGGGGTCACGAAATACTCCTTGTATCCGCACGCCACTTGATGTCCGCTCGACACAAACCAGGTCATTTCGGGACTAACATATGGTTCAATTATATTTCAATGATTCGCTTGAAATACGCGTTAAACCACTAGACCCCCTTTTTGCCAAAAAGGCAGGGACCATAACTCCAGATGTTGCTGTATGATACGCACCAAAACAAACTCAAATTAGATTTTTGTATCCTTAACATAATAACTTTCATCTGAATCATCGTCTGCGATGTTTGGGCCATAAACATATATATTTAAAATCGGATATATATATTGTAACCCCATCAGAGAACTTTGGTTAAGTTTCATCAAAACTGGACACAAATGTGACCTGTAAAGTGTCCACAAACAAATGTGAACGGACGTCCGCGTGGACAGGGGCTATGACTTAATACGTTCATATGGGATTATAAAACCATGTATATTCCTTGTGTTTAGATATAGTTTAATCATGTACTATATATATTATAAATAGAAGCACAATATTAAATGATAATCACTATTTAATTTTAACGTAAAGATGCATTATGTAAGATTCAGATAATGAGTTGGTTGTTCTTGCTATGATAGATTAAAAATAGATAATGCAAAATGACTACACTGCAAATTTCATTCAAATTACTTTATCCTGGGCGAAGTTATGACTGTTTGAACATGTATAGCGTAGATCGTTTATTATCGTAGCAACGGTACTTGACAATCGAGACTTGGTCAGTTTCGTTAAATTTTTTAACCTCACGAATGTTCAAATCCATTTAAATCCCTTTCGCCCGATGGTCTAAGAGAACTGATTTGTCATGTGCATTGGTGTCTAAATAATATTTTATACAAGATGCACAGCCAGAAAAAAAGACCTGCAATGGGCAGATTTAGTTCTTACATAATGCATCTTCAAGTATAACTAAAGCATAATATACAAGAAGCACAAGAGAAAAACAAGTATTAAATACAATATACTGAACACTGAAATAAAAAATAAATCAAATATATAGAGGATATTTGTCATTTTAGAGTGAATAACATATTTTATTTCATCGAGAAGCAAGAAAACTTATATTTTCACGAATGCGTAGCATGAGTGAAAATATAAACGTTTTCTTGCTTAGCGATGAAATAAAATATGTTATTCACGACAAAACGACAAATGTTCTATTTATTTTATGATTTTACAATCATTTTAGGTAAAAACAACTAGCCAGTCGAATAACACTTTTATTTCACTGATAAAATGCGGTATTCCACTACTGATCATAAAATAAAATGCTGTCATGCTTAATATCTCTCAAAAATAACATCATGGGTATTGTCGAGATGTTAGTCTGAATAACTTCATCGGAAGTCACACTGTATAATTCTTTAATTTCCAAAATAATATTCGTCATACATGTATTTTAAAATTAACAAAATTAACGGAATACTTTTTTAGATTGAGATTGTTACAGTGAACGTGACTAATACAAAATACATCAATAAAACTAGTCACTTAATTTTATAATTTTCAAAAATAATGTTAACTTGACAATAAAGCTTGTTTAATTTTATTTAATATGATTTTAATTGTATCGTTCCAAGTTTGTGGCTTTGTTTTTATTAATAATTAATTTGTATTTATTTTCGCCTAGTGGGAGAAAGTGGGGCGTGAGGGGGGGGGGGCTAACCATGACAATTTGAATAATGGAACGCTGTAGATGTTATTTTCGACTATTTCGGGCCCAGGAACCTCTTGATTGACCCTGCGCAGGCGATGGGTATCTGGTCTCTTTGACCCCCCCCCCCTAAGCGCTGCGCCTGCATCTATGCGCGTAGGTCATCTCTGTTAACTACAGTTTCGGTCAGTTTCAACCAAAATAATCGCTTGTGTTCTTCCTCTTCACACCACAATATATATTCATCCGCTTTAATTATTCTATAAATAGTTTTAGTAACGTTTATAGCATCAGGTTCCTGAAGCAGAATAACTATCATAAAATTAGTTTTTTCGTATAAATATCTCTCATACGCTAAACTAGCCTCAAATTCACAGAAATGATCTTGAACGTATGAATTGGAGATAAACAAAATGGCTTTTTTACTGGCATCCATATTATTCACAATTCCGTCCATTTTATTTCCGATTCCGTCTCGTTGTGGAATAAAAAGATTAAGACCCATCTCATTTTCTAATTTTGGAATAATTTCAGCAAGAATAAAATCGAGGTCATCTTCGCTACAACTTAAGAACAGGTCAAAATGATAGTTATCTCCCTTGTCATTAATTCGCTGGAAACGACGCCGCTGAAACTGTAGCATATATCCAACATATCTGATATTCCATCTATAACGGTACACAACAGCTCCAAACATAACAAACAAAACTAAACTCGATGTGGCCGCTATCAAACCGAACCCGACCTGTGATGTAAGAAAACAATATTTCCCAGTGACGTACGATATGGCTATCTGTTTCCCCTGCCACCTACTGGGCCATTTGCATAAATAATCCACCGGATAATACTCGAATTTATGGATTGTTTTGTCATAAAATTCCACCATACTTATGAACCACTGTAAGTCACAGGAACAAACAAATGGGTTCGCTGAAAGATCTATACTATTCAGACGTTCAATTAGAGTTTCTGGGAAAGAGGCTTGAGTAACTACCGATATGCGATTGATTGCTAAAGTAAGTGTCTTTAAGCTCGTTAAAGATTTAAAGTAATTTTCTGGCCAGCTGATTATTCTATTCTTAGCAACATTTAATAATTCCAATTTTGTCAATTGACTCGATATAACGCGTGGAAGAAATGCTATCCCAGTATTTTCAAGAATTAGCATTCTGAGATTTTTCAAAGGACCCAGAAGTGTATCAAAATCATCTTCGGTAAAAAAAGCAAAACTATTGCCTTGAACAAATAAAGTCTTTAGATTTGGACAAAATGAAAACAGTTTTAGATCAACCGCTACCCAATCAAGGGCCTGACTTTCAAAATAAAGTACCGAAAGGGAAGAACTGTTAAATGCCATGGGTTCTATAACAAACAATTCATTCTTTATGTGGGAGATATGAAGTTCTTGTAGAAATGGCAAATCGCTAAAAGTATTAGTTCTAACTCTGTCTATCGGGTTGGAATCAATTGAAAATTGCTTTAGTTGTTTCATACAGCTTATCATGGATGATTTCAATATCTCCACAAGATTTGAACTGAGATCTAACACTAATAAATTAGGATACATCGCTCTACCATTTACACATAAATTAGGAAATGACATTAATTTGTTCTTGCTGAAACTGAGCCTATTAAGGATATTGGAATACCATACATGTACATCAGTGAGACTGCTGAGCTCCAATTCAAGATAGCGAAGTTTTGGAATGAGTTGGAATGTCTTCGGATCATATGTCCTCAGTGTTGTTCCGTACAGTTTAAGTGTTTCAACCGAGCTATTTATTAAACCTGAAAATATATTCGATGGGAAAATGGATAGTGAAACCATGGTAATCTTTATTTCCTTGATCGATGTATCTGCAACTCCCAAGAAACATTTTCTAAATTCTTCTGATGAAATATTACGTTCATTGGCAATATAAAAAATCTGAATGGAATTCGAATGTCTAAACATATATGGTTGACACCGTTGCAAGGAATTGTTAGAAATGACCAATTCCTTTAAGATTAAACTGGTTAAATTAGAAAATGTAAACTCGTCGATAAGTGGAAGATAATTGTTCAAAAAGAAAAATGCGGTAGTACCGGGGGGTAATTCGGGAATATATGACAACTGGCGACCACCATCCAAACAATATACATACGTTCCTTTGCATAGACAGAATTTACGGATAACACATGGCCCCCAATCATCTCCTATTCTTATGTCTACCTTTAGATCCCCGCCATTTTGATTAACCAAGTTCCGTGATCGTCCAGTATTGAATACTTTATATGGTATGTTCCCGATATCGTTTGCTGTCACTTCTCTGAGATCAGAATAATATCCTCCATTATAGTCCTGATGCCGTTCTAGCTTATCCATGTTCCATTTTGTTTCCGCTTTCATTCCCAGTAGATTAATCTCATTTCTATACCGGCTGGATTTAATTTCGTTTTCATGTCCAATATGGCCATTGTTTGGGATCACATTTCTTGATTCTCGAACTTCTTGAGTTTGATTTCTATATACACTACCCAGAAAAATCAGCATATATATAGCTGAATGAGAAGAAGATTTCATTTTTTGTATGTACTCGTAATATCTATATTACACAAAAAGACAGACTTCTTATATCAACGTTAATTGATAAACTTTTGTTAATATTTTTGTTAAACCAATATTCTTCACAACTTGTTACATAATAATAAAATAATGATTCATAAGACAGACTTCTTATATCAACGTTAACTGGTAAACTTCCGTTAATATTTTTGTTAAACCGGGATTCTTCACAATTTGTTACATAATAATAAAATAATGATTCACCATATAAACTGACAACACAGGATGTAATAGTCTGTAATTAAGGAGATGTGGGATTACATTTCATTAAACATACATTATGCAAGAGCTAAATCTGTTTATTGCAGGTCTTTCTTTAGGCCTGAAATGTTATCTAAATTATTAATTAGACATTAATTAACTTATCCAGGCCATAATCAACTCTCGATGGCATTGCTAGCCTGTGATGTTTATTGGATTAGGTTAAGATTTGCAGTTCGATTTCCATTCATAATTAAATCAAAAAATGGATAATCGAGACTGTGTTTTTTATAATACCGACTTTAGTCATGATGATCGAGGCTAGCCCCAATATTCAATCGCTAAAATCTCGGTTCAGAGTGGATCAATTTGACTGAAAGTTTCAGCAAATTCCCTTTACATTATCTAGTTTTTAACTATTATAGAGAGAACTGTCAGCTCTTTATCTAATCTCCCATAATGTATCTTTAAAGGGATATTGATGATATTACATTTGTGTTTATGACGTAATTTGCCATTTTGATGGAAACAAAAGCTGACGCCGTGTAACAGTATGCACATCATTAATGGAAACTCAATATCAAAGCGGCTGAAGACAATAATTACTGTTATATAAAGTAAAGTATAGGTAATTATTTAAAAATTTAAATTTAAAAACCATGAATATATATCACGTGTAAATTAAAACATATGCGTATATCAAAACATGGCTCTTCGGAAATTATCTGTTAAAATATCAGAAGAGTTATCCCTTCGATTTAATTAATCAGCAAACTGTTAATTGGTCACTCACTATAGGTTCAATGAAAGTGGAAATCAAATCGAGACTAGACAATCGACATTACATGGATGTACGATATACGTAACCGAAAAGATGTTACTCCACAAAGACTCCCTTTAAGGCAATTAAATAGGAACACGATAATATCTCTAGTGTGTGCGAATGTCGGGGTACATCCTGTTGCCATTTAGTTAATATTGTTATTAATTTACACAACAAACCTCGCCCACCAGTCTTTGCTTAGAGCTAAAGCGTATTATATGATTGACATTTCTAAACTTATTCTTACAATCTTCGACATTTCTCGAATTAAACATTTGAAAACTATAATTCTCAAATTTCAATTATCCACAATGTTTTTAGTTTATTAAATCAATTAAATTTTTGATTTGATGAGAGAAATGTGCGTATCTATAACACAATTTTCTTTGTCTGTCAATTTATTTACAATGATTTGGGCACTTTATTTGTCAAAGGAATGTTCTTGGGTGGCCGAATGGTTAAACGCGTGCCATTGTGATAAGTGGTGTCCCGTATTTTAGTCCACTTTATTTTGCTGACTAGAAAAAAAAAGAAAAAAAATATTATATTCTTTTATTTATTTTACTTTATTCGTGAGTAGAAAAAAAATCATTTAGCCCTGTCTTTGCTTTAACTGTACGCTGAATCAACTAAAGTGAATGTAGAAAAATGGAGTCTGTCGATAAAAATAGGTCATTAGCGGGGTTCGCTCTCCGGGAAGTCCAAATACTAAATACACAGTTTATTATTTCGGTATCCCCCTTTCTGTTGTGGGAAATTTAATCCTGTGGTCAGTAATTACACATATTAATTAATCCAATTGGCCACGGTTATTTGCTGTTTCGTTCCGTCTTTAAAAAATGAGGGAACAGCCATTGGCATAATCAAAATGGCCGACGAAAATTGAATGTTTTTTGGATAGTTGAATTTCATTAGAGCCTAATGTGGTGACACACGAAATGTAATATATACAAGCATGCCTTATTTGGCATTACATTATTTCAAATTATACTGTCGCCGTGGCAGAAACGTAATCGTAACTAACGAGTCGTATAATATAGCGATTAGCGAGGATTCTCGAAAGAGATAACGGACACGGTCGACATTTCTTTCATTAGGCTACCGCCTTCAAAAAGTGAACAACGAGTCTTATGTAAAGCTCAATAAACTTGGAATTTCCATCAATGATTCGGTCATTCAGGTGCCTAAAAATAACAACAGGCCATCATGTAGCCTAGGCTACACGGTAAGAGTAAATTTGTTGGAAATTTGGTAATCCTTGGATGAGATTTGATGTGTATAGTCAGTACGGTACACATTTTAAACATTTCATTCAATAAGATATTTTAAAAGATCAAAGCTAAAAAAGGGTTTGCTCTCATTTAATTTTGTACTATAGCCTATGCTGTGATGTTTAACTAGTTTGTCAGAGAAGATTTTGTAAGAAAAACTTTATTAAAATAACCAATCCCTTATCAAATTGGATATCAATTACTTTACAAAAAATAAAGTAGAACATCCAAAAAAATGGACTAATGTAAAGCGAAGTAAGATTTTGTAAGTTATAATGCAGGCTATATGGTTTGCTGAGAAATAAAAATTTTACCTGTGTTTCAATTTTCCATCATACATTTTTGTCAAATAAAAATTCCAATTTTGCATGTGAATATGATAGCTATTAAATTTGTATATCCTATGTTTACAATTTTTTATGCTGCTGACATTTTATTGTTGTTCAAATGAGTTAGTGCATATTCCTTTGTTTTGAAAAAGCGGTGGACAAACTAGTCCAATCAATCGGTGCTGATATTCGCCTATAGTGTCCACTGTCATTCCGCCGAATATTCGCCCAAATCACACGTTTTGAGTATTCGGCCGAATTATATTCGCCTAGTGTGTCCGCTTCGCCGAAACAATCACAAGATTGTAGAATTCATTAGCCAATCACCAATCATATATCGAAAAGTCATGTGATTGTTTTAAGACCAAGGTGAGGCAATCGACTGGTGAATCGGGTGAAGGATTCGGCAAGTGTGACCACACATTGGGTCGAATTAATTTGGCTGTGATTTGGCACAGATTGATTCGGCCAAATGATTCGGCTGGTGTGTCCACCGCTAAAGAGAGAAGGGGGATTAATGGGGTTTACTGTCCAATAATTCGCTTGTACTTAAGGGTCTTTAGCAGTGAAGGAAACCGGAGGGCCCAGAGAAAACCCACGAGGTTGGACAGGCGACCCTACTCCTTGTCAGATTTAATTAAGTATGGAATCGAAACCATGTCACGTGACTCAAAGACAGACCTTGTGATTTCATGTGCACACGTTAACCACTAGACCATGCATCCAACCCCTGCACTGAAAAAAAGAGACACAAGCATAGAACCAAATGTTAGCTTGGAAGTGACCTGGTTTGTGTTGAGCGTACTATATACAAACACAGAATGTTCAGTGTGATATGAGGGAAATTTTACATTGACATATATCGTATGACCTACTCTTATATCAAATTACAACTGCCATGGGTTCTTTTACATGCACACACATGAGTACACAGGACCTCGAACTCTTTTACGTGCACACCAATGTGTACATGGCACCTCAATTTTGCCTTTGGTCCAAACTACACCAAATATAAACAAATTCTTGACAGGCCCCCCGTTCTACACCGCTGACAAAGAGAAACCATGTCAGAAAAAATCCTAATGAACTGTCTCGGGCAACTGGGAGCCTGGTCAGTGAGCCTGCATCTTACTCTTTAAGCCACAGCGTATTATAGCAACTGATATGAAATGAAATGGGGTTTAACGTCCTACATTTCTTCTCTGATTGGGCGAATGAAGACAAGAATATGCCATTCAGTTTCCTATGAGGGAAATGTTGCCCTGACATATCGAATTCCAATTGCCAAGGGTTCTTTTATGTGCACTGAATTACATTGCTTCTTGTCAGGCCCTCCGTGCGATGTCAGTATTTTTTTTTTGTGCCATCCGAACGACTACACAACTATTTTCTCCAGGTCCCCAGGTTTCCCCCCACTGCAAAAGACCCCTACAGGCAAGGCAAATAATTAAAAAAAATTGAACCATGTGCCCTGCTATGGCGTAGTTTGTACTGTCGAGTGGACATTAAACTCCATTTCTCTCTCTCCTTGACAGGCCCTATGTCCCGTACCACTGGCAAGGATTGAACACGGGACCACCTAGTTAGTGTGGCAGCGTCTCACTCACTGAGCCACATTGTCTCCTAATATCAAGCAAGAATTTTCTTTGATCTTTTTCAATAAAAGAATGGGAGCCATACTGGCTAAGTGGGTAAGACACTGGCTCGATAGCCTGGTGGTCGCGTGTTCGATCCCTGCATTGGCCGAGAAAGTTCATCGGAAATTTCCAACATGGTTTCCTCTTGTCAGTGGTACAGGACGGAGAGCTTGACAAGGACACTTGTCTAGTCGTTTGGATAGGAAGAAAAACCGAGGTCCCGTGTACACATTGGCGTGCACCATAGTACTGCTGCCCGGGCAAAATTTCCCTCATAGCATACTGCATGGTGGATGCCCGTCTTCATTAGCCCAGCTGGAGCACAACAGTAGGACGTTAAACCCCATTTCATTTCATTTCAATATAAGAACCAGAATTGTTTCAATTTCAGACAGGGGTCACGGTGGCTAAGTGGGTGAGACGCTGGTTTCGATCCCCGTTTCTACGTGACAAGGAGAGGGGTCGCCTGTTCAACCTCGTAGGTTGCATCCAAGTCCTCCAAACACCCCCACCCGCCCAGCTAAAGACCCCTATACAAGGGAATTATTGAAATTAAATTTAACCATGTTAGTCACGAAATGACTTAGTAAGTGTCGAATGGACACATATAGTTTTTACATCTAGTGTAGCCTACTTCTGAGCTTGAACTTAATGATTTAATACACCAAGCAAATCAAATCAGAAAATAAAACTATGTGTATATAAAGTGTATATTGCGTCAGTATAATACCGTAGATTTTATGTATTAATTGGGTTTCTGAATTTTGTTCTAAGAAAAAATGCTATGCGTATCGACAATCAAGGATGTGCTTAGAGTTTTACTGCTCTTGACGGTCCTCGAGTGTGCCCCACCACAAGCC